CGTCGTCCTAATCAAGAATATATATACTTTGTGGGGTCTGCGATGATTCCTTCTGGCCGTTACATACTTTTACACAAAACCATTATACCCTGATTTCCCATTTTCAATGGACTCAGGGTATAAAAAACGCACAAAATGCAGCATGTATATATTTGTAAGGAAGCGTTAATATGTGTATATTTGCAGAAGCAAAAATCTTTAGTAATATATGTTTTTCTCGAATTCGGAGGAAAGACGATGGATTTGGGGCCGGTTTCAAAAATATAATAATAGATTTCGCATGAATCTGTGTAAAGTTTAGACGCTAGCTCTTATAAAATGAGAATAGTTTCTTTTAGACAAGCTCGATATATATATGTCTATACCAACAACTAATTTCCGGTAGCTCTAATAGGCTCTGATATCGACGCGTTTATATATATTGAAAAAAAATATATCAAACTTATGAGGTCTCTTTCCACCTATTACATACATTTCAACAGAGCCATTCTGTGATTTCTTCTTTTTTTTCAACGGGCTCTCAGAGTATAAAAATAAAATTGAATCATAAAAATTGCCCCACCCTCAATCTACTTGATATAGAAAATAAATCTGACTTGCATATCTAATTTCTGATCGCTCACAAAATAACTTAGATAATCCCATCACATTTAACAATGTAAAAAAGATTAGGTAAAATATCAACAACCCATATATATTTTGATGTGTTTCAAAAAAAGGGGAACATGATAAGCTCCAATGTTTCCGAATAATCCATACATCATTTTAATTTTGTTCTAAATCAAAGTTTTCAAAATATTGAAAACGATTAATAAATCGTCGATAGTTCTTGAATATTCATAGACCTTAAGTATAATCCAAACAAATACAACATTTCGATAATCGATGGACTATCGACTTGACTAGCAATTGTTTTCCTGGTTCACAGATTATTGATTGATCGATTGATAATGTAGATATTCATGAATTGTGACTAAGGAACGAAACTCGATCCATTTAGAATAGGGAAACACATTTTCGAAACACATACAAGGAGAATGAGAGAGAATATGTGTAAAAACTTCGGCTTGCCAGAAGTTAGATTATGTATTGGAATCGTATTACCCTGTTAATACTAACCTTGACGCAAAAGTTCTGTTTCTTGCTCATATCGAGCATATTCCATCTGAGCTTCAAGCTTTTCTTCTTCCATTTTGAGCTCCCGCTTGAGAGCATCTTGCTTGCTTTTAAATAGATCATGTAGCTGCTTCCATCTGGAGCCGTACTCGTGCTCAAATGAATTTTGGTCAGCAAATCGGGGACCAACGCTGCGCTCCTGATTGAACTCTTGCAGTTTTTTATTGAGCGCCTTCTCGGGCAGTCCGTCGTTGTCATCGTTGACTTCCATCGGCTCCACTAGACATGGACGCAATGAGGCCGTTAAAAAGAAGCATTTCTCATTGCACAAACGAAGGCATGCACTGGCCGATGACTTTTTGGCAAACTCGACAGTGCCCTCGCCCATATGTTTGCCACGATCGTCAACTGTAATGCTGGCCCGTTCGACGGGCCCAAAGATCTCAAAGGCCTTATAGAGCAGCTCGTTGGACACGAATGGTGTCAGATTGCTGACACGCAATATGGTTGCATTGGGGGCGAAGCGAACGCGCAACTGACGCCCTTTGCGCATTGAGCCGTCTAAGGCGCGTTTGGCCTTTTCGGCATTAACGTGATAGTCGACCTTAAGGAATGTGAAGTTCTTTTCAAGGTTTGAAAATATCTCGCCTATTTCGCCGTAGGGCTTAAACATTTCTCGCAACTCCTCATCGGTAATGTCATTGGTTAAATTACCAACATATAGACGATTGCGACCAGAGAACTTCGTCTCTTGGGCGACCTCAATCGGTGGCAGTTCGTGGGTAGGACCAGAAATGCTGCGTAGACGTTGGGCAATAAAGAAATCATCGCCACGTTGCGAATTGTTACCGCCGCCAGAATTTGGTCCGCCGCCGCCGCCGCCACCACCGCCACGTGACCCGCGGTTCCTATCACGTCCACCACCGCCGCCGCCGCTGTTGTTGCCTCCTCCACCACCTCCTCCTCCGCCTCCGCCACCACCACCACCGCCGCCACGAGCCCTAAACGCTAAGTGGGCATGAGCTTGAGCCTGTGCTTGAGCTTGAGCCTGGGCTTGAAGCTGTGCCTGGGATTGGGCAGCAGAGTTCGACTGATTCGCGCTGTTTGTTTCGACAACTTTGTCATTGAGATTTCCTCCATCCGTTTTTGGTTGCTCTGTTGTGGACTTTTGTTGCTATATATGTATTTAATATATACGCATATGTATGTATATATTGATGTGAGTATATAAAAAAAGAGAGATATGTGATTTATACTACGCAAGCTATCAACTACAAAATTTCCCTTCAACAAATATTGCAAAAGAATGTAAAAGAGACAATATTTGACAGTTGCAGTGGATTGAAATCCAACCAACAACACCAGGCTCAACTGACAGCTCTAAAATATAAGGCAACATAAGTTTCTTTCCCCTTCTACCAAAAACTAGCGACAGATTTTAATGTTGAACAAAATAATGAACTTATTGTAACGGTGAAATAAAATAGAATCATTTAAGATACACAGCATATAATTTTTTTACCATATGCAAGTATTTCATATAATAGATCTATTATATAAATATTTTAAATTCATTCTACAAATAATTGGTTATGCAGTTAATCAAATTGATTTCATTTCGTTATTACAAACAAATTATGAAATATATAGCTTCATATATTTCAGGTATACATAATTGGAATGATTCTACAGATGCTACAGAACCATTATTTTTATCAAGTCAATATAGCAGAAAATATAGAAGAAAATGTGATTCGATTCGTTCCTTCAATCAATTGGTATGGAAAGCGAGGCATGAATGGTTCCAAAATATACAAAAAATAAAAACGTACTGTATTTGAAGATTTAATTTTGTGTGCAAGAAAAAGCAGTATACTTACCAAGATAGACTTTAAATATGTATACTACTTTGAGAAAAGGTAAAATGAACCTTTTATTTCACATGACAGTAATGCATGCACATAAACTGCACTTGAGCACAAAACAGAATATATCCATTTTGTAATAGCTCATACTATTCTTGTTTAATATCATTTACGCAGTAATATTTGCGCATAAATGTTCTAATGTTAAAACAAAAAATAAAAACAAAAATAACATTAATTATTTACATTTCAAAACACAATTTTACACTTAAAAATATAAATGTATGGTATTTTTATGCACCGGTTTAGAGATAGATAGATAAATAGGGCGAGAGAGGGAAGGGCAAGATATTTGTGAATGGAGACCTAGCTGCATGCTCACATTCATGTTTTTAAAGAACCACATTATCGGACTGCTTCATTTAACGCAACACAAAGCACAGCAGGGCATGAAAATAAATTAAATTTCTCACATGACTTTGCGAGGAACAGTTAAACAATTTACTAAGAAATATAAATTCGCTGAACAGTGCCTGAGGATGCGCGTAAATCAAACAATCATATTGGAACCCATCCGACGCAAATATATTAAATTTCGACTCATATATATGGGTCGGATTGGAAGCAATATGCCTGACGCTCACCAAATACTGAGCTCCAAGATCAGCACCTAAAACCAAATATGAGCTATGGCAG